AGTTTTAGGGAGAGATATCCAGTTGAGGAAAATAGGCTTCTCTCTAAAGAAGCACTTCACATGCACCTCATAAGTCCCCTAAATCATCCCAAAGGTAATGCTCAAGTTTTCATTTCCAGAAGAAAAACTGATCCAGTAGATTCAATCCCATTTCCCCAGTCTTTGTATCTTATAATACATGGATTAAGCAACCAGTTAATTCACCTTAAGAGAAACAACATAAAAACCCCTGTTTAGGGCTGGAGAGATGGCTCAGAGGTTAAGAGCACAGCTTGCTCTTCCAAAGGTCCTGAGTTCAATTCCCAGCAACCACGTGGTGGCTCACAACCATCTGAAATGAGATCTGGCGCCCTCTTCTGGCCTGCAGGGATATGTGCAGACAAAACACTGTGTACATGATAAATCTTTTAAAAAAAAAAATTAAAAAAAAAAACAACCCTGTTTAATTTTCTTTATCACTAGACAGGTAGTCACTGACAAGTCTCCAGACACACAGGATTGGATGGAGTGGAGCAAGTCAGGCCGCCTGGGCTTACCACTTAGTGTGGTTGGTCCCACTGGTGTGAGCTGCCTAGCCCATGGAAGGATTTGTCTGTGAAATCTCTAGTCCAGTGGTACCAGGTCATCTTTAATGACAATGACATTTTAAAGAAAATAAAAATGGTAGCAGTAATGACAATACACAGCTCTTTGTGCCAGGCACTCACTAGGTGTGCTTCAGAGATTTCCTACTCCTCCAAGCTTGTATTATTGTGCTGACATAAAATTTAAGGCCGATGTTAAAGGGACTGTCTAAAGGTCTATAGCCAGAAAGGGGTAAAGGTGAGATTAAAAACCCAGTTAAATATGCAGTTTCCAGTTGCTAGTGTTCAACTGATGTTAATGCTAGTGGGTATAAAGCTGTCTTTCCCCCTAAAAGCAATCACTTCTGTTTGAGCCAGACTCTTGCCCTTTTACACAGTACACACAGATATACAAACCCTGTGACCGTGCAGGTGAAGACCACTCCTTCCTTACCTGTGTATACCTGATCTGAGGTGGACTGGAGTTTAACAGCTCATCACAAAGCACAGACTTGGGGGCAGGTGGTGGTGGAGAGTGAAAGATTGTCTTGCTTTTATTTTCAGTAAACATAAAAGGCAGATATGCCTAGCTTCGACAAAACATGCATTCTATGGGACATACGACAAGCTCAAAGAATTTCAAGGACATTTGGAAGGACACATAAGGCTATGAATGGAATAAAGCTGGATCCCATTCATGGCTGTGGAGACAAGAGGTTAGAGTAAGGAGACAGGCCAGCCTGGTAATGCTTGCTTAGAATCTGGAGTGTGTAAGTGACATGTGCTCAGTACGGACAATGTCCCTAAAGGTCACACTGAGTCCTCAGGTCCCTTCCCTCCAGCATCATCAGCAGATGTTAAAGTTCGCATATGTTGAAGAAGCAGTCTGCAAAGTGTATATGGACCAGAGGGAAAGAATGTAAAATGTCTAAGAGGATGCTTCCCTAAGTTGAAAAACATGGTAACTTGGGGTAGTCCCTGGAGGCTTTACAGCCCACGGGGGAAATGATCCAGGTGAGGAAAGAATGAAAGGTGGTTCAGCTTGATTTAGGTTAACCAGTGCTGGGATAAGACTTCTTGGAGTCTGACATCAGCTCATTCATTTTTGCCATATTTAAGCATAGCACAATTTTGGGAAAGAAAGTTTATCTGATAACAGTTAACTCAGCCCTGTGAGCACAGCAAAGCTTAAGGCATGTTTCTCTTGAAGCTCTTTACAAAGTACACATGGCTTCGACCATAAGATGGGTTCCTGCTGACTTGGAAACAACTGCTCAAGATAAGGGTCTAGGCAGAATGACTGAGGTAAACATAATGCTTGGCCCCAAGATGTCATAGGAGCCACTCAGGCTGCTGTAAGGTAAAAATGACATCTCTCACAAGGATGAATTTTATGGCCTAGAAGTAATGTTCAAGGTTTTAGGAAGAAAAGGGTCTGGGATAAGTCAAACAAACTCTGGGAGATACAGGTAGAGCCTGGCTCATCGGACAGCAAAGGGTTACCAGGCTGTAAGCTACATCCATTCCCAGCATTCCATGAGGACAGGTTAAACCATCTCTTTGAAGGATGCCTGTGAGTTTAATTTTCCTAGCTTTTCCAGTGCTTATTTATCTGTGTGTATAAGTGGTTTTTTTTAAATTAATTAATTAATTAATTTATTTATTTATTTTTTCCCTTTACAGTAACTGGCCTGCAAAGAGAGTCCCTGGGTTCTAAACACTCTTGGGGTATAAAGTTAGAGGGGATACACTGTTAGTCAAGTCAAAATGAGAACAACGTTTAAAATCAAATCAAAAACTCACCAGGGGGAGTTTGCTGTGAGACAGTGCCTACTAGGGATGTCAGAAGCCACAGACACGAAGTCTCAGCAACATGACTGCCTAAATGAGCGCTGAACAAGGACACGGACGGATGTGCCAAAGTGGATGGGAAAAGCCCACCACACCTCAACCCTACACGAAGAACTACAAGCAAATACGGAATGCTAAGAGTGGGAGAAACAGTCTTCCAGGGAAGAGCATGCCAACTGGTGAGTCAATACCAGATGGCCAGCCCTGAAGACGTATACAAGTAACATCATCCAGACTGAGCAAGGTGTATTTAGAAACATGTATAGGTATGGACAATAACAATCAAAAAAAGAGGTCATGGTTTTGAAAGACAGCAAAGGAACATATGAGACGGTTTGTAGGGAGGAAAGGGAAGAAAGGAATGATGTAATTATAATTTCAAAGTTAAAGAAATTCTAAAAAAATTTCACTGGTAATTATAAGTTGTGTTTGTTTTGTTTGTTTTTTCTGGCAACATCGTGAAGTGGCACAAGAATCTGGTTGTTTGAGCTTGAAAGATGTATACATTTTAAGATCTTAATGGATTTAAAGATAAGAAATACAAGAAAAATGATGGGAAATGACATGTCACACCTCCATCATACCCAGACTCCCGGAGCCACCCTTTCTACATGGCTACTTTAACATTTAAAAAGAAAAAGAAAAGGTTAAGTGCTATTTTAGGTGAGATAAAAGAAAGCAATCATAAAAAGCCAGTCAAAGCGCTCAATTTTTCTTTGAAGTCCCTCCTTTGTGATGGGGGAAAGGAGAGGTTTGAGTGCTTACTTTGTGTCCTTATTTCATGGCTAGAACTTTGTAAAGCAAGTGCTATAAGAACCGTCCAGAAGAATGGGGAGAGAAAGGAAGTTTGCCTAGGCTCACCCAGGGAGTTGAAGGAGCTGCTCGTCAACACTCCCTCCCTTCAAGGGTTCAACCACCTTCAGTCTGCTTTGGAAGGAAGCTAGCCTAGAATAAAACCTGCTCCCGACACTTAACCACAAGCCTCTTGGACTTCAGTCTCCTCTTCTGGGTGACAAAACCAATTCTTAAAAGGGTTGCTTTGAAGAGTTGAATCAACCCATCATTTCTTCATCCACTCCAAGGACCAGGCTACAGAACAAAGGAGATGACATGGTACCAAGAGGTGAGCAGATGAGCAGCTCTGAGGAGACGAGCCTAGAGAAGAACAGTGCGAACGAAGGCAGGTGAGCTGGGTGGGCAGTGCTCCAAGAGTGCTTCAAGAAGAGATCTCAGCCACAGCTGCAACAACAAAGGTAGCAAGGATGGAGGAATACTACTTCCCGCAAGGAAGCTGAGAAACTCCATGGAGTGTGTGCCAAGTACCTACCTGTCTTCCGGGTGCTGGCTAATAGCTTGTGTTACCACGCCCAGCTCTAGTAACTTTTAAAAGTACTCGAAGAAAAGAATGTCCCTCATTCTTACATTTAAGTTACGAATTAAGGTTAAAGTGAAGTGAAATAAAATGTACAACTCCCCCCATCCCAGTTTTCTAATGTTTATTTCTACCCAAGAGTAGTGTCCAGGTGAAGGAAGTGGACTACTATCTATTCCCTTTGGTGACACGTGGACACTCCTTGACTTCAATTTGCTCAGCTATAGTTTTGAGAGACAGGCACTCTCATGATGTCCTGCTACCCATATTCATCCCTTGTACGGAATACTGCAGGGGTCATTAATATTTATTTTTCTGAGGGAGAAATACATTTTCATGGACTCTATTGTTTCTTATGCTCAGGTTTCTGGATAACAAACAAGCCATTCTGAATCAGTGTATTCCTTGAAGCTCAACATTACAACAGTTGGTCCCACTAATTTTTTTTTTTTTTTTTTTTTTTTTTGAGACAGCGTTTCTCTGTGTAGCTTTGGAGCCTGTCCTGGAACTCGCTCTGTAGACCAGGCTGGCCTTGAACTCACAGAGTTCCACTTGCCTCTGCCTCCCAAGTCCTGGGATTAAAGGCATGTGCCACCATCACCCGCCTGGTCCCACTATTCTTAATACCCACACTTTGACTAAAATGGGCCCAATGCACTTTAAGGTGAGCAAGTGTAAGAAGTCCATTGAGCAAGTAGGGTGAGAGACCTACCTGCCCACCTAAGGGACTGCTTTATTATCTCCACAGTAATTATTATGCTTTTATATTCTGAGAAAGTTACAATGAAAAAAATCCTTCTAATTCAAGTAAAAAATTGGAATTGCTTCACAGGCAGTTCATGTACCTCAAAGCTATGCTTTTTAAATGATTTCCTAATCCAAATTAAATACCCATCAGCTCACCTTGACATAATGTTAAAGGTGGTAAGCACTAACCGCAAGGCACCCGTCAAGTCTCCAGCAGGCTGGAGGAGAGTGGGACTAGGAATGTCGTGGGTCACTAGCAAGTGCATCTCTCAAGAGGAAGACACACTCAGCTCCCAAAAAACACCTGCGAGAAACCTACAGGTGACACTTGTCAGAACCCTACTGTAAAAAATGGAAATGCTTTATTTATTTTGGCCTTTGGTTATATATAAAGCCACAATAATTATGGTAATTTAGTTATTGGACATATAGAAAAATGGTTTTTTTTAAAATAATGATTCAATGAGCATTTTTGTTCCTTTTATTCACAAAAGGTAAGACTTACCCCTCTGTTGAGACCCTTTTCTTTAAGATTTACAGAGGACCTTGAGATGTTATCAATTATAAAACATGTCAAAAAGAAAACATCTTTAAAATTTACAGATACAAACAGGTACTTTATACAAGAGTTCTCTATAAAACCATCAATGTAGAAAAGACATCAGAAGTGAGTGTAAGGCCTGTTCTTATGTCATTAGGATTATTTTTGTCTTGTTGGGGACTTTTCTTTCCTCCGGTCGTGATTTCTTGATTCTCTTGAATGGTCAGAGTATCTGGTAGATTTTTCCCATCGTCTCTCAGTACCATTCTGATACCTGTCGTCATCACTTTTATGGCCTGAATGTCTTCTACTCCTTTCCCTGGACTTAGAGCGATCTTTCCTTCTGACTCTTTCACTGTCCTGATTTCGGGCTCTTGGCTTCTCAGTTTCAGAGAAAGACTCTCTTCTCTCCCGTCGCTTCTTCCTTGGCTCACCATGCTTGTCTTCCAGCTCTCTGTGCAGGTCTTGGTCTCGGCCATTCCCAACTCTACTGTAACTATTTTCTTGGGAAGGAAGGCTTCTGTCAGCCATGGACTTTGCTAGGGGATCTCTCCAGTCAGCATTTCGTGAGTTTTGAGTTCTGTCTCTCTCAGACCTTGCTCTCTCAGTCCTCCCTTCCTGGTGCCTTTGTTCCTCCCTTCCTCCTTCGCGCCTCCTGTCACGTGTCTGCCGGCCCCTGGCGGCTTTCTCTGCTTCTTCACTTCTTGTCTTCCCTCGTCTCTTCTTTCTTGCATCTTTAGCTGCATGCAAAAATTACAGTTAGTTTTTATGTTAATCTAAGTTCATAATTTAACAATAACATTTACCAAATTATTGGAGAACACTTATTTGTGTAAAATCAATGCTAAGCCAAAGTGAAAAGCCTGAGGAAAGACTATTTTAAAAAAATGAATCATTTTTAAAATAGGTCACTATTAGTTATTAAGTAACTAAAGTTTCAAGTTCTCATAAGAGCTTTCAAATAAACTATAGCAAATGTAAAAAGGCTATCTAGTGACTAGAAATAGTACGTTGCCACTTACACACTCTAACCCCAAATAGAGCTTGGCAGACGAAACTTAGCTGAAGGCAGCCCTGGCGCATGCCTTTAATCCCAGCACTTGGGAGGCAGAGGCAGGCGGATCTCTGAGTTCGAGGCCAGCCTGGTCTACAGAGTGAGATCCAGGACAGGCACCAAAACTACACAAAGAAACCCTGTCTCAGAAAACAAAACAAAACAAAAATTATATATATATATATATATGTATGTATGTAAATAGCCATTTTAAGTTAAGCCTAGTTGCTTGTTAATTTGAGTTCATGAATCAACAATACTGAGATGACAAAAGTTTCACAAATGATTATAACTACAGAAAGAAAACACAACAGGAAATCATTTCTTGTCCTGACTCTACCCAAATGTCCGTGTACCAACCCCTCTTTCTGCTAAGTGACTATCACTGGCACACAGTGTACAAACCGGTCTGCCAGTGAGAACTTCCTTCTCGGGCTGCAGCTGCCCAAGCACAAGCCATCTGGCTCGGTGCTAAGCCCATGTCTCCGGCTGACTCGATACACTGTCAGGGCTCTGCCAACATAACACCTCAGCCATGCAACAACATGCAAGGCCCCTTCGGCCATATCTGCTTCTCGGTTTTCTAATTTGGAGGCAGTTTGTATGCTATCTAATACTTTAATAATGAAACAGTTCTCTGCTGAAATTGTATGATAAGGCAAATTATTTTTGAATCAGCAAACTTTCTTACTGCAAACTTCATGCTGAGCTATCCTCTGTCCTCAAAATGGACACAATGAAATGTACTTTGTAACATTCCGAGAGCTGTTAAATGAATAGTGCTTGCACCATTTCAATCCATGAATAAAGTTCCTGCGAGGAAGTGCACTCCTGCTCTAAGAATACAGAACGCGAAGAGCCCCACAATTCCGGTTGTCATCCAGTACGTGAAATACTTTAAATGTAACAAGACGGAAACACAGCATAAATATCTGCTGTCCAACATAAGACTGAAGAGAGGGGCTGCTACCACTGAAACAGGCATTCCAATAGAATACATTTAGAGATGCAGACAATCTGCTACCCAGGTAGACTACCCAAGATGCTCTGGTGCAGGGTTAAACCGCACAGACCTTTTCAGAAAACAAGGACCAGGAGGAAACTGAAAAAGGATTTCAGTAAAACTGAAATACTGAGAGGGGCTGGAGATGCCTGTTTGAAGGCACTGAAGATCTGCAACATCTGTGATGCTGGAATGAAAGAACTACTCAGGGATAGGATGGAAGGAAAAGGTCCTGGAGGAAAAGGACCCCAGTGTCTTGGATCCTGACTCATTCATGATTGCTTTACTCTGTGATCTGCTGATTTCCATAGTTTCACTGATAATTACGTTGTTTATACGAGAAGCTGACACGGGGAGAAGGTGGGGGAAGGTGTATGTGGATTCTAGCTCCGGAGTTTGTAATTTTCTTCTAAGTATGAAATTAGTTCAAGATAAAACATTAGAGCATTACAGACATGAAGAACTTGTTAAAAAAACAAGAATCCAAAGGGCCCAGAATTCAGGGGAAGGTAGACGAGCAGAGAAGTTAGCTATGTTGTACTGCCACATCCTTCCTGGGAGGGTCTGCTGATCCAGGGTTGCCGTTGAGGGAAAAAACAAGACAGCAGAGCTCTGGCATCCGTACAGGGCTAGAGACACAAGTGTGAATACTTGTTTGCAATATATATATGCATACATATATACACATACTGCAACATATTATACATAAAATATGTAGGGAGCAAGAGAGTAGAGAGAGAATAAATACAGGGGGAAAAAATCCCTAAAAATAGGAATGTCAACTTAAAAGGGGGAAGAGCAAAAATTGAGCAAGAGTGGAAATATCCAAATGGCCAATAATGTTATGCTCAGCTTCATTAGGGATCAAGGAAATGCAAATTAAAATGAAAGATATAAGGTAATATTATCACACATTAACCAGAATGGTTAAAATTTAAACTATGGGCAATATGCACCTGGTAGGAGTGTAACTTGGCATACTGACTTCCAAAACTGGTGGTATTTACTAAAACCAAATATATACACATCCTACAGCAGTGACGCCATCTGTAGCTACATAACTGAAAAGAAATGTACACACAGGTGCTTTCAAGATGATGTTATGTCCCAGAGATGACATGTGACAAAAGGCTTTTAATACTCCCATACCCCCCCAATCACAAAAACCACAGGTCAGCACAGCCTTCCTTAAGCATGCTCAGAATCCTTATATTAGTCTGCAGGTGGACATCACAGAATTACACACAGTAGCTCAGAAGAGAGAAAAATTCAAACTTCTAAGTACTATTTCTATTGACTTTATACAGCTTTTGTATCACTGTAAAAGTTGAAAAACCAAGAACACAGGGATGATCAGCCAGGGACAATCAGCATATATATGTATATATGTATGTATGTGTGTGTGTGTGTGTGTGTGTGTGTGTATGCGCGTGCACATACACACACACAGTTACTAAGATATGTGCCTAGGACATCAAAGACATGTATGAGCATGTACAGCAACCAATGTGGATGGATGAACTATAAATGCAATATGGATTAATTTGGTGAACATAGAAATGAAAGTATTAGATAAAGGAGTCCATAATTAATACCTATAAAGTTAAAGCAGGTACTATGGCACAGGCCTCTAAACTGAGCACTTGGGAAGTAGAGGCAGACGACCAGGTTCAAGGCTAGCCCCTGCCAGACAGTGAATTAACAGAATAAACTGCATATAAGACTCCAAAAAGCAAACAAAACAAAACATCCAACAGCAAACAAGGCAGGCAAAGGTTTGCCATGATGATGTATGGCTGAAAAAATAGGGTATGAGAGGCAAGGGGAGGGGACTGCAGTTCAAGGCCAGCCTGGGCTATGGAGTGAGGAGACCAAGTTTAGCTATGTTGTGAACCCTTGTTTCAACAAAACAAAAGATCAAGACTAATGAATGCAATTACAAGTCAGAACAGCAGCTGCCATGAGGGGAGGAAGCTGGCAAGCACCAGAGGAACAAAGGAACTCTAAAGTGCCAGTACTTCTTGATCTGGGGAAGAGCTCTGGAGAGCAAAGCCCCAAATGAGCTATACAATAAGACGATGTCAAGTAGTCACATAAAGCTTGACTACAACTAGCAACCTAAATACCTTGAAAATGAAGCCTCAGGATGGCAGCTCTAAACTAGAACATAGACACGAATGGTACTTCAGGCATCACTTGAATCACAGCTGTGTCTATGAAGAGACTTCTAAAACAGATTTAACAAACTGCAGACTGCGTCATTTACATGTGATCATCTCTATTAATGTGTTTTAAATAGATGGTCAAAATAACTAAGCAGCCATTGAGACCAGCCCTTATTAATGAACACTACAAGATGCACTTGTTAGAAACGAGCAGGATAATTCCGAATGAGCCCTGATACCTGAGGCGGAGCTCTGACTGCTGGATGAGGAGGACGAGTCGCTTCCTTCACTGGAAGACTCTGAGCTGCTCTCACTGCCCTCAGAGTCTGAGTTG